GAACAAGAAAGCATCTGCTGGCTGACTGTCTGCCATGCAGATCTGTGGAGATGGAAATTGAATGGTGTTGACAAGTCACAAGATTCTGGCATCGCAGACTTAGACACACTTAGGGCAAGCCTGTTTCAGTCCTGGGACAGTAACCATGCCTACCAAATTACTGCAGCCTCACAGACCCCATCTGTAATAATTGGTAAGATAGTTCATTCTTTTGTCTTATTCAGTCCTTCCAATTAAAACAAATATTGGCTTGGTTTCAGTTTATCTTCCCAACTTCTCTGCAAGTTGCTAAAGTTACGTGAAGAGAACTTTAGCTCAGTGCATAGAGAGTCAGCCTGCAGACCAAAAGGTCCTAAGTTTGATTCTAGACAAGGCATGTACCTTGATTGTAGGCTCCTCCCTGGCCCAGGCCCTGGTCAGGATGCTTGCAAGAGACAACCAATCGACGACTCTGTCTTTCCCTCTCTCTCCCACTTTCTCTAAAAATCAATAGGAAAATATCCCCAGGAAAGGCTTAAAGGGTATTTCCAGAGAGAGAGAGAGAGAGAGAGAGAGAGAGAGAGAGAGAGAGAGAGAGAGAGAGAGAGAGAGAATAAATATTGGGCTTAGAATCTTCTCTGGTAATAACAGCTATTGAAATTAATAATGTGGCTCTATTTTTGAGCTATGCAATTTTAACCTTTTACCTATTTATTGGCAAATCATATTGATTTTCCCTTTATGATGGTGACAGAGAATTTCCTTTTAAAACAAAGTTAATGAAATTATTAATTGATTTTTATCAATAGATAAATTTTAATACATAGATCTGAAATGTCTTAAATGTTCATTAAATGGTAATAAGGTGGAAGAAGACTGACAGAAGTTTGGGAAGGAGCAGCAGATGGTCAACTGTGACATGGGGCAGTGGTGCCTATTAATGATTCCCTTCCTAAAATGGGTTAAAGACCAACCAACAGACTAGCATCCGAGAGGGCATGGAGGTGGCTTTCGGGGTTGTCGCATGGACTGTCTTCCATATCCTTATCCTAGGGATGTGTTTACACCCCCAGCTGCTGGCACCTTTGTCCTCACAGCTACCCTTCAGATCTCACATAAGGGTCATCTAGAGGCATGCAGGCTGCCAACATGCTCTGTTAAGAAGGAAGGGAAGCCAAAACCGGTTTGGCTCAATGGATAGAGCGTCAGCTTGGGGACTGAAGGGTCCCGTGTTCGATTCCAGTCAAGGGCATGTACCTTGGTTGCAGGCATATCCCCAGTAGGGGGTGTGCAAGAGGCAGCTGATCGATGACTCTCTCTCATCGATGTTTCTAACTCTCTATCTCTCTCCCTTCCTCTCTGTACAAAATCAATAAAATATATTTTTTTTAAGAAGGAATAGAAGCAGGTGGTGTGTTTCAGAAAGTTGTACACTAAATTACATTTAAATGTTTATGAGACTTTTAAATGATTAACCCAATTATTTGTTAAATGGTTCAACCCCAAATATCTGTAAAACTTAGCAGTCTCAACAAGATCCTGCAACTGGGGTGCTGGATGGTCTTTGCCATAGGAACAGAAACTGATATCATACCGCAAACTGATCAGAGAAGAGTTCTAGAAGCAATGGATGGTGTCTGATAAGAAGACATTTGCCAAAGCTAACCTTTCTCTAAATATTCTTTTGGGGGAGAACATGATATTTCACTCACTTTTCATTCAGTTGGAAGTATTGTGGAATAAACAGTCTGAACTCTAAAAGGCCAGCTAAAGATTTTGTTTTTCTATTGTATTCTTCATTTACTGCAGTATAACACCTTATTCCCAAAGCTAAGTGGGCTAATCTTATCTTACACATTTCTTACACATGAGTCAGACATTTGGGAATCAGCTTAACTTGGTGGTTTGGGCTCAGGCTCTCGAATGTAGTTCAAATCAAGATTATGGGTGAGTTGGCAGTCATCTGAAGGATTGGCCAAGGCTGGAGAATCAGCTTCTAAGGTGGCTCATTCACATGGCTATTGGCAGAAGGCTTCAGTCCCTCTTCATAGGACTGCTTGAGCATCCTCACAAAATGGCAGCTGGCTTCCCCAATAGTCAGTAAGACAGAAACTTCAATGTGTTTTATGGCCAAGCCTCAGAAGTCCTATATTGTGATTTCTGCAATATTTTATTGGTTACACAAGTCAGCACAATCCAGTGTAGAAGACCAAAAAGAGCTGAGAATCCTTGATTGGGGGTCACATTTCTCAGCTTATATTTGATTTCTGGTCCACTAGTTTAAATGTAGGTACAGTAGTTGCTTAAGTGTACTTTAATGGAAGAATGAATTAACAAATAAAATGAAACTGAGGGGTGTTATAAATTATAAAATTTATCCAATCAGTACATAGTGAAAAACTCTCATAGGAATAGTAAAGGTCTCTCAGAACACTAAAAATAATCCTTTCCTCTACTTTTCTCTTGGGTTTGACAGTCTGTTTTGGCTAAAGTCCATCTCGTAATGGTCTAAGGTAAACTATTGCTTAACTAATCTTTTCTTTTTTTTTTTTTTTTAAATCCCAGACTGAGTAAACTTCAAGCTTCCTGAATAATGTCTGAGTCCTACAGAGTTCTGTCCTTTCTCAGCTGCCTTCACTGTGACTCCCAAAGCTGCTCATTTTATTGAATTTAATTTGTTCCACATCCCCCATGAAATCAACTGAGTCTTAAAAGTGAAGAAAATGGCTCACAAACATGATGTCTACTTTGCCTCTTTATGCATTGGTGCCCCCTGGAAAAGAAGCCCATGTGAGGTTTTGAACATGTCATACCTAAGGGTACATGAGTGAGGCCTTCTCCTCTCAGGGGCGTTTTGTCATATAATTCAAAGCTAGTATTTCTTACAGAATTACAATATGCTACAAAGCTGTTATTCTTGGCATGCATTTTTCTCATAATTTAGACCTGAGAGCAATCCCATGACATTGTAACGATTATTAATATGCCTAGTATATAGAGGCAGGAAGACTTAGGAGGTAGCTGGAGGTCCCAACACTCTTAAGTAGAGGAGGTAAGACTGGAACCAGGTATGTTTTGGTAATTATTCCCACACCTGTACCAGAGATGACCCTGCACATACTTAACAGTCTTAACAGTCACCACTGACTAATAGGACTGTAATGGAGTGGGTCCTGTAGGCTCCTACCCACCCCAGCATCCATTACTCCGTCAGATGATGGCTCACTCAGGAATCCCAGAAGTATGTGTGCACCCAAGCGGCTTGAGCAGGACTATTTATCAAACAGTGTGAAAGTATTTGATATTTTAACACCAGTAGGGTCACCCCCGTAGGTACTGGGTGAGAACATGCCTACTCTGCCTGTGTCATCATGCAGCCTTAAAATTATTAGTATCATGGGGCCCCATCATCCCAGGAGAGAAGGAAGTGGTCCAAGGGAACAGAGACAAGTCCTGCCTTACCCAAAGCTAGAATTGTGGGCCACCCACTGCATTCTTGTCAATTTCTGCAAATGTCTAAGACTCTCTCCTCAAAGTCCTGGATTAAGTCTTTAAGGAGAGCCCTCTTTATGCTTATATATTCTGGGATCGTATAGGCAGTGAACAGTGTGCTCTAGCCTTGACACAGCAGTATTTCCCAAGCAGATAAGGGGCACTGCAGGACCCAGCACAGACCACCAGCGAGTCATTACCCACTGGCTGCTCCAGTACAGCCCCAGTCATGTTTGTTCAGCTCGTAAGAAAGGGCCTCAGAGGTCTCTTTATCTGTACTGCCAAACCAGAGGCCCTGGTGATGAGGGTCAAGACCTTTTTCTCTTATTTAAAAAAAAATATTACCAAAACGGTGCATTTCATTGGCTGTGTACACTAATTAAAATGCCCAATTTCTGTGTTTTTGGACATAATTCAAACATTAATAAGTGGGGGGAAAACAGACAGAGAAAAACAAATACTGAATGATATTACTTATACGTGGAATTAAAAAAAGAAAAAAAGAAAGAAAAAAGAAAGAAAAGTTGAACTCATAGTGACAGAGAGTAGAGAATGGTGGTTGCCAGAGGCTGGGAGTTTGGGGGAAAAGGAACATGTTGGTGGTTTAAACTTTCAGTTATAAGATGATGAAGTTCTGAAGATTTAATGCACAGCCTGGTGATATAGTTAGACATACTGTATTGCATACTTGAAATCTGCAAAGACAGTAGATCTTAAACTTCCTCTCAGATACAAAAAAAGGTAATTATGTGAGGTGATGAATGTGTCAATTCAATTGAGTGTTGTAATCATTCACAATATACACATATCAAATCATCATGATGCACACCTTAAGTACATACAATTTTATTTGTCAATTGTGCCTCAATAAAGCTGAAGAGAAAATAAAGGGAATGCAAGGAAAGCTGCTTAATAAAAAAGAAATTCCAAGACTGATACACGATAAATAAATCTTCAATAAATACAATTTTTTTTTGGAGAGAAAAACTTTAATCTAAGAAGGGAGGTAAAAGAAATTGGTATGTGCAATGGGAACTTTGGATTCCATATTCTGCACTAGCTTCTCCAAACTTCTCCTCTAGGAAGACTTAATGACCTCGTCATTCACTCATTCATCCATTCAGTAAATAGGGCAATGGGCACTGAGTAACTGGCACATGAATCTTACACTGACTGAAGCTGTCTTCTCTGAACATTCATTGAACTCTGCTCAAGTTACTGTACAGAGGAAGGAAGCCTGAGTGTGGGGAAGTGATGCTCTCAGAGCTTCATCTCCAGTAAATTAAAGTAAAGGAGATGGTTCCTTCAGGGACCAAGTCCTCTGGAGAAAGAGCTGCCACCAAGCAAAAGAAAATGCCTGGCCAAATCTATGAATAATCACAATCTAATAATGCTTAATAGTGCCCTATGGGATAAGTCTAAAAAAAATTCTGGGAGTAATCACAAGGGTTCACATTAATGATAATTTAATAATCATCTCCTTGGCATATCTCTCTTCTTGATCTAGATAAGTTGTATTGCATTGAACAAATTTCCAATGCAATCCTCATAGGAACTCAGGAACATAGAGTAGAATGCCACTTATGAAGCATTTGACTTTGGATAAGTCCTTTCATGTGTACTTTCTTACAGTTTTAAAAATCCTATAATAATATTTGCTGTGACAAAGATAGTGGTGAAGAATCTTGGAAAGTATAGGAAGATGGTCCTCTTGACTCCAATATATTTCTTGCTCATTCTCTCTGCACCTGGCTGGTGAAATGGGAATCCTAGAAGATTCATGGAGTCATTGCCATTATCCTGGAAGAACCAGACCACCAAAGAACCCAGAATTATCCCACTGATATTTGCCTGGGAGTGTGCTGTTGCCCCAGGTAGCAGCAAGCCAAGCTAGGGCCAGGACATATTTGGATAAGGAAACTTGACCCCTGGAATTCCTGACCAGCTAGCTAGGCTGGCTTACCAGATCACTTAACTAGTGATCTGACTGAATTTATTAGATGACACTTATTTATTTCATAAAGTTTTTGTAAAGATTAAACATAACAATTGTATATAAAGTCCTGCATTTTATAGAAAGTGCTCTATACATGTTAATGTAAATTGTTATTATCATGGAAATGAATACAAAATGTTCATCTTATAGATTTGTACCATGATTTAGGGGTGAGATTAAAAATATACTGATCTTGTTAGCTAAATTATATTAGAAAAAATAGTCCTGTTTTAATTTGATACTCTGCAACACTTACATGAAAATGACTAAATAACATTTACTAGATTTCACATTACTCAACTACTTAAAGGTATATTTTCAGTTCTGTGTCTCTGTGAATCCCTCAATAACAGATATTATACAAGAGATGGAGGGATTTTCCTCTATGAATTGAGATAACTAATTGGCAAGACTTGGTCTTTGTTAGATTAATCAAAGTCAGAATGTGTTGACTTTAAGTGGATTCGATGCCTTCTCTTTTCCTCCCCCTCCTCTTTCTTTTTTTAAAGAAAAATGCTGATTTTCTTCAGCAGAATACAACAGCCCATCTTCACATAGAAGGAGCAGCAATGAGTACCATATAGGTGATTTGTTTTCATTTGGGTGACCACTTTGCCTCTAGAGTTATCCTGAACACATGCCTTCCTTTCCTTTCTTCTCCTCTCCTCTCCTCTCCTCTCCTCTCCTCTCCTCTCCTCTCCTCTCCTCTCCTCTCCTCTCCTCTCCTCTCCTCTCCTCTCCTCTCCTCTCCTCTCCTCTCCTCTCCTCTCCTTTCCTCCCTCCCTCCCTCCCTCCCTCCCTCCCTCCCTTCCTTTAAGGATGTTATAATGTAGGTAATAACTGGGCCTGTATACTTTTTAATTCTTTGTATAAGTGACTTCCTTAATTTATAGTTTAATATTACCCTCTATTTTTACTAAGGCATATAAGACTTGCATGACTGACAGAAAAATGTTTGGATCTTTAGCAAACTCTAAAATAATGTATTATTACTTTAGTCTTTTAAAAAATAAAGAAGGGTCTACCTGATAAATTCTTGGAATTATGTTGCAGGTTAAAGGTTTGTTAGTATACATCTATATTACTTTTTATTGGTTAATGACAATTCTTAGTTTTAGACTCCCAGGAAACTCAGTTAAATTTAATGCTGGTGGACATAATTTAATCTATGTTCCTGGTATATTCATCTCATATTTTATTCTAATTAGTCTCTAACAGGTTATTTAAAACATAAATAAATATGTCCAATTGTCTTTTACTATTCCCTTTTGCATTATTCCAAATCTACTTTGGAAGACAATGTGGTGTCAGTGGTTTGAAACAGCACTGCTCTTTCTTCATGTTTCCTAAGCCAATTGGCACTTCTTTATCCTAATGGGAATTCTGTTTTCAGGTCACACAGCTAGGAGTCCTGGTGACACCTAGCTCTCACAGTTCTTAGGAGTGACAGGACAGGGAGGGAATTCTGTGCTTGGCACTGCAGTCTTTCAGATGAACTGAAGCTCAGCAGAGGGATTAAATGGAGATCATCTGGTAGACCAGCAGGCCTGGGCCATGGCTTCTCTTCCTCTGTGCGAATCAGGCAGCAGCTGAACCGCACAAAGATTTAAACGGTCATAGAGGAATTGCTATTTCTTCTCTTTTCTTTTTGTCTTCCCCTCACTTTCTTGTTTTTAAGATGCAGAAAGGACTTTTAAAATTCTTTCCATTTGCTGTCTTATTTCTCTTATATTTGGCCTCTGGTTGTCTATTTACAATTAAAGGAAAAGAAAATGGGCTGCTCATAGTCACTCTGTGAAAAAGCATTAGACTTGTAAACAGCATAAGAGTTTTAAAAAGCCACTTTCTGGGCTTCTATCTATTTTGAGGCCCCTCAAAGTGAAGAAAGTCAAACTTGGTATTAAATAACCACCCAGGATGTGGCTGTCCGCTTGAGGTGTTAAGAGAAATGGTTTATAAAAAGCCTGGTTAAATATAGGAAGTACAGTTGCATTCCAGGTAACCCGAGATTTGAACATCCAATATGACTTTAATGGAGGCAGTCTATTTGGCCCATTTTCACAGATATATAATATATTGTACCTATTTTAAGGTCTGCAATTTTTTTCTTCTTAGCTATTTCTCAACTAGACCAGCAAATACTTCCTCCAGCCCTATTCATGCTCTGTTATTATCTGTCCATGTATCCCCCACCTTCATGTTTTCCTTACTAAAATAAATACGTAAATGCATTCTTAACTATGGTACATACTTCCAATGTGAAGGAAAACCGCAAAACATTAAATATTCTACCACCAGAATCCAAAACCTGAGTGTTTTCGGGCTATTTTTTAAAATTAAAATAGTAATTCTAATGTAATAATCTGTGTAGAATTTTCAAACATTCCAATATTCTTTCATTTTAACTCTCTTAAAAATCTTTTTTTTTTTTTTTTCCTGTAGAGTGGGACTTTAATTTCTCTGGGCCTCTGTCTCCCCATCTGTCAAATGGGGCCACTACCTGTGTTGCAGGTAGTTATTAATATAAGGACTGAAAGGTAATCTACATCTGATTCCTGGCACATACTAGTACACAGCGGCTAACCCATACAAGCACTGCTGTTTAGCATTTGCTTCTCCATTCAAGCAGTCCTGGGTCATGACGGGCCAGACCCCACCACAGTCCTAGTCCACTCACCCTACAAGGCCAGAAATACTGTGGCTGGATGAGCAGCAACTGATAATTTTAGAGTACACTTGGCCAATTTCTCTGGTCCCACTGCTACAGATAGTCCCTGGTTTCGTCCAGGTTTGAATTTCTCTGTGGCCACAGGGGTAGAAAAAGGCATTATTTAACTGCAAGGGAAAGTAGGAGACTGTGTGTCAGGGTGCTTTTCAAATCAACTCCCCTCCCCTCAAAGACGCTCCTTCCTACTTAAAATATACAGTGTTAGAAGCATTTTGGCAGCATCTATGTTTGACATGTCAGAGGGCAAGGTGCATGCAGATGTAATATCAGTGAGTGGTGTAATCCGAGTGTGCATGAAAAATAACTGCAGAGGGCATGCCTGGAACCCCAGGGAACCCCTTTGCCATGGGCTCTGACAGCACCTCAAATAAGCACCTTACTTAATCTCCCCTGTTGATTCCTATCTGCGCCCAGTGATTTCATGCAGCTGCCATCTGCTCACCAGTTAGGGCATGTTGTTTGAGGCTGTACTATAATAAGATCCAGGTTCTCGGATGGTAACGTAGGCTTGTTGGAGACGGAGCAAGACCCTAAGGAAACGTGGGAGGGAGCCAAAAGGTGAACTTTACAGCCAGCATGGCTGGGTTAAGCTTCTCCTTATTTTATTTAACTTTGTATCCTCAGGGCTTGGCATGAAAGCATGCCCAGTAAACACTGATGATAAAAATGATTGAGCGACTATAAGACGACTTTTGAAACAAAAAAAAGTCAACCAAAAATCGGGGGCAAAAGACCAAAATTGCACAAAAATCACCTGCAGATCTTGACGGCAAAGTAAGTCTTTTCTTTGAAGTGGGGGGCAGTCTTATACAGCGAATATAGGCCTAAACCTGTGTTTTAACTGTAAAATTAGGGGGTCGTCTTATACACCGGAAAATACGGTAGTCATTTCCACCCCTGGGCAACAGTAATAGTTTTCATATAGTCTTTGGGTCTATACATAATATACATATATATATATATATATATTTGTGAGTTGTCGAGTGTAGATGAGAATTCCTTCATTCCTCATTCACTAGACATTCATATTGAGTGGTCACTCTGTCCAAGGTCTAGTGACCTTTGTACCTGAGGAGTTCAACACATAACCAAGGACACAGGTACACTGGACAAATGTCAAAGGGGGAATAAAAAAATCAGGTCCAGGAGAAGAACATCCGCATCTGTGGGAAAATGAACTGTGTGACAGGCGAGGAACCCTTCTATCATCCATTAGGGTCTGCAGAGGCCACTTGCCCCAGCCAAGTTCAACACTCTGCCCTCGCCAAGGTCAACAGATAGACTTGGAACTTCCTGGGCCACTGTGGACTAGGGCTGCCCTGAAGAAGTTTTATTTCAGCTTCGGAGTCTTTGAGAACAATGGATGTTCAGTCTCAGAGGAACCCAAGAGATCTAGGACAGGTGGGGAAACTGAGGACTAGAGAATGGCTACCATTTAGCCTCAGTCATGGAGGAACTGGAAACAGAATTAGGAAGGAGTTGAGCCATCTATAGTTTACCCAGCAGCATCGACAGGACCTCCCCTGTACACTGTAGGAACTCATGGGCTTACACTGTGGAAGAAAATCCAGTAAAAGAAGTAAAGTCTGGCCAAAACCGGTTTGGCTCAGTGGATAGAGCATCAGCCTGCAGACTGAAGGGCTCAGGTTTGATTCTGGTCAAGGGCTTATACCTTGGTTGCAGGCACATCCCCAGTAGGGGGCGTGCAGAAGGTAGCTGATTGATGACTCTCTCATCGATGTTTCTAACTCTCTATCTCTCTTCCTCTCTGTAAAAAAAAAAAAAAAAAAAAAAAAAAAGAAGTAAAGTCTGAGAGGCAGGTGCAATTCGGATCTGTAGGGCATATAGATCCTGATAGAGAATGTGGATTTTTATTCTAAGTGGACTAAAGAGTCATTGTGTGTGTTATGGGGTGAGGAGGTAGGGAGGTTTCACATGAGGGGCAGTTGTATAAGTCAGCTATTGCCATGATACTGCTGCCTAACTAGCAGCCTCAAAAGTTCATTGATTCAGAGAAACAATTTTTTTTCTTCTCACTCACTGATCAATGGGTTGTTTGGGGTTTGGCTGATGTTGACTAGGCTTAGCAACACTTAGCTCCAAGCTATAAGTCAGGTTCAGGTTGGCTTCCTATATCTTATTTTGCGATTTAAGCATAGAGGTTTTGGCTACATGAGAAGTAAAAGAAGACACACCCAATCAGCAAGCACATTTCAAGACTCTGCTCATATCACATTGGCTAGTATCTCATGGGCAAAAGAAAATCACATGACCAATGCCAAAACTCCAGGATGAAGGAAGTTCACCTCAGCCACCACGAGGCCATAGCAAAAGTGGTTACATCTGGTATTCCTATTACTTGGAATTACAAATCTATCTGTTGAACTTGGCCAGGGCAGAGAGTATTGAACTTGGCCAAGGCACGTGGCCTCTGCAGATCCTAATGGATGACAGAAGAGTGCCATGCCTGTCACACAGTTAATTTTCCCACAGATGCAGCTATTCTTCTCTCGTTTGGCAGGGCCAAAGTGCCCATGCTATCATGGTTCACAGGAAACTGGCAGTACATTCTCAGGCACTCGGAGTGCCCCTCGGGATCAAGGCTATCAGATGGTTGATCACTACCAATCCCTAGACTCTTCCCCTGATCTCCCAGCACCAGCCTCATCCTGCCTCATTTTACACCAATTAGGTCAGCTTTCTTGAAGTACTGCTTTCATGAGTAGCCAAACCACCCACAATCACTTCACAGAAGGATACCCTTTAACAAATTACAGGCAGCTCGTGCCCCCCTAACTCTGGCCTTGGCCAGTCCTTTGGCTTTGTCAGGGCCAGCCCTTCTCTAGCTCTGGTTGGGAGAGGACACACATTATGGATTTGCCCAGTAGCCTCCTCAGGTCTGGCACAGAGTTTGGCCTCACAGTGGCTCAAGTCAAGGCTGAAAGGAGGGGTGTGCTTGCTTTCCTTGGCAGGGTTCTCACACAGGCACATTCCTCGTGGTGTTAAATACAATGTAGTTTTCCAAATTGGAGGACCCACGTTTCCCATTGTATTTTATCTATGACCTAGTCCCCGGCTCACCCTCAACTCTGCTCTTAGGAATAGATGAGGAGGGGGGAAAAGAAAGGAGAAATACATGAGGAGGGTGTGGCAGTGGGGGGTGGGTATCTATGAAAATTTATGTGCTGAAAAACAGCTGTAAAACTTTTAATGTTTCAATGAACATTTTATGTTTACAATAAAAAATCCTCCAGCCAAGAAGGTCTTTAAAATGTTACATTTCTAAGCAGATTAAAAAAAAGGGGGGGGGCAAAGTAAGGATATTCCTACCAACCCTTCTCTATAGAGTGACCCCCAAATGCTAACCATTAAAAGGAGGCCCCTCCATGTGGTGTGTGTTAGCACCAGCTCAATCCTGAGTGGGAAGGGAGGGAATAATGGCCATGATCCACTGGGAGACTGGCAACAAGAATGAAAAATACGCTCATTTTTCTCAAAGCCAAGTACCCATGGCATAAAGCCTTGGAAACTCGGGCTTTGCAAGTGGAGGTGGAGGGAGTGAGGGCAGATGCCCCACTCAGCCAAAAGCTTGCTAAGAGATTTGATTGCAATCAATCAGTCCACCAACAGGAACTGATCAGGTGCCACTGGGCCGAGGTCTTCCAGGAAAGAGCCTGGCTCAAAGGACTCTGGCTTTGACAGAGAGAAGCAGGGTCGAGTCCAAACTCCACTCTGCACTGGCTCCTTCTCCTGAGGTAAGTTCTTTAACCTCTCAGGACTCCAATTTATTCACCAATAAAATGCAAATGGCAAGCATCACTGGCCAGCTCCGGAAAATGGTATGTGCTGGGGAACAGGAGTTGGGGAAGCCAGAGAAGCGGATGGAGTCGGGTCAGGGCAGGCTGTGAGTATCAGGTAGAGAAATTAAGACTTGATGTGGTAGGAAACTAGGAGCTGTGAAAGCTTTGAGAAAAATGTGAGTTTTGTTCTTTTTTGCTTAATGGATGACTTTAGTCAAGTGTGAGTTTTCAGGCCAAGAAGTCAGTCTTACTTTTTATCTTTGTTGTAATTCATATTTTCCTCATTGCTTTCAGGAATAGAAATGCAGGAAAGCCCACAACCACTTCCTACTCTTGTCCTTTCTTACCGCCTCTGCATACAAGGCACACATGGCTATTTAAACACATAATGGCAAACCAAGAGCACACCTTCCATCTTGAGCCTGTGAGCTTTACCCGTCCTGCTCCTTCTACTTATTACAGCCCTCCCCACCTTCTTCTCCTTTTAGCAAACTCTTACTCAGGCCTTGAAGTCCAGCTCCAGTGCCACCTTCTCTGTGTGATTGCTCCTTACAGTGGCTCTGACAGCACATAATGTTCTCGGGACTCATCACCCTGCCTTTAAAAAAAAATCTCTTTTTAAATTTTGAAGCTTCTTCAGAGTAGCTAGAAACTTCATCATCTTGGTATCCCTTGAGTGTGGCTCAGGGCATGATGTGGAGTAGGTTCCCAGGAAATTCTTTTGGTGAATAAATGAATGAATGGTGGAAAATACAGTTTCCTTTTTATTTTATTTTATTTTTTATATATTTTATTGATTTTTTTTTACAGAGAGGAAGAGAGAGAGATAGAGAGTCAGAAACATCGATGAGAGAGAAACATCAATCAGCCACCTCCTATACAACCCCCCTGGGGATGTGCCCACAACCAAGGTACATGTCCTTGACAGCGACAAGACACACTGTGGGCTCCTGAGAAGGAAGGGGGGCCCCTCCTGTGACAGCCTTCACCTAGCCCTGGAGCAGATAAGAATCAGGGACTGACTGGCTGTGCTGTTTAGCAAGGAAGTCTTTTAGACTTCAAGAGAAAGATGCTCAGGTGTGTCCTCCAAGGAGAAAGGTGGGGGTTTCCTTCGGGGGCTGGTGCAGTTCACTTCCTGCTCATGAACTCAGGGATGTGGTGTGGACTCTGTGTGTGTGTGTGTGGTTTTTTTTGTGTGTGGTTTGTTTTTTTTTTGGCGGTGTGTGTGTTGTTCTTGGGAGACTCTGTTCTCCCAGAAGCCAGGGCCCTCTTTCCTCTCATTGGAATGCTCAGTACATGGCTGCTGCCCCAAAGGATGCCATGCCCAGGAGTTACTGTGAACCAAGAGAGTGGTGGCTGCTCACTGGACAATTTAAAATGAATCCCCACAGGGTTTCATAAGAACATCAGATACAAAAGAGATGAAGGATGGAAACTCACACGATAAATGCAAAGTGAAAACAAAACTGTGTCACGGAACCCCATGGGAACTGAAACCACAGGGCAGAAAGCTCTAAGTCTCCAGACACAAACAGTTTAACCCGGTGTGAGTCACCAGGACAGTCGGAGGGAACACTGGTATAGGGCAAAGGCCCACTCCGAGGGGTCCACACCAGTGCTCGGGGAGCCTCTGCACTTTCCCTTCCTTAGAGAACTGTCTTCATTTGAATAAGAGGAAAGAGGACCTGCTAGGCTCTGGCTGATACTCCAGATATAAATAGCCAATGAGTTTCACAATCGCCCTGTCTAGGAACAACGATCCATCCCTTTGCAGCCATGGTCTCCATGCCCAGAGTTGGAATTTGTATTCTTTCCTCCAGCCACTCGTCACCAGAGGCCACACTGGAACCCTCACTGGCCACAGGAGTCGGAGCAGTCTCTGCTCAACCTGAGGCCCAACACTGCTTTGGTCCTACTCTACCATCAGTAAAATGCAACTCTGAGCACATCACTGATCTATAAATATAAAAGCCTGAGTGACCATTGCAAGTAAATGGATGACCAAGTAGGCTCTGTGGGGTGACCAGGCCAACAGAGGGGCTATTGAGGGGCGACCAAACGACTGAACAGCATGCTGCTACATGGGGAGACCAGGCTGGCAGGGGGGTTAGTGAGGGGTGACCAAACAACCAAACAGCAGGCTGTGTGGGGCAACCAGGCCCACAGTGGGGCAGTTGAGAGCAATTAGGTAGGCAGGTGGGGCAGTTGGGAGTGACCAGGCCAGCAGGGGGGGCAGTTAGGAGCCAGTGGTCCCAAATTGTGAAAGGGATGTCCAACTGCCAGTTTGGTTCAGGTCTAAACTGGCAGTTGGATATCCCCTCAGGGATCCTGGATTTGAGAGGGTGCAGGCTAGGCAGAGGGAACCCCCCAACCCCTGCATGAATTTCATGCACTGGGCCTCTAGTCTATAATAATAAAAGTATAATATGCTAATTAGTCTGGACACCTGAACGGCCTTCCATACATCTTTCTGGACAAAGCCGGGGCTGCGAGGACCGAGCCGCTTACACAAATTTTGTGCATCAGGCCTCTAGTTTATCTACAAATTATTATATACCTTTCAGTGTAATATCAGAAAACATTCAAAGAAATGGGAAGGAGAATGGGTTGAGATGAAAGACAAAAGTAAACAGAAGCTGAAATGTTTCCTTCCTATGTTCTAGTGCAGGGGACTTTGGGGAGCCAGATTTTAAAAATAATAAAAAATGCAGGTTGCCTAGTTAAATTTGGGATACATTTTTGCTAAAATATTATTCATTGTTTACCTGAAATTCAAATTAAATGGACATCCTGTATTTTTATTTGCTAAATACAGCAACTCTACTGAGCCAGCAAATGCTTTCTGTTAAAGGCCATAGTAAATGTTCCCAGCTTGGTGGGCTAGCTGGTGTTTGTTACAATCACTTATCTCTGCCACTGTAGTGTGAATGCAGCCCTAGGCAACTTCTAAACAAGTGGGATGGCTGTGTTCCAATAAAACTTTATTGATGAAATAAGTGGTAGGCTGCAGTTTGCCAACCTCTGCCCTACTGGATCATCATTGGTGCCTTCCACTTAGGAGAGCCCTGGTCTGTAAAAAGACTATGGCCTGCATTTGTCCGGCTCTCCAACAACATAATATAGAAGAAAAATAAACTACTGTCTTGTATTTTCTCTGGGGGCCAAGAGTGGGGGCCGATTATACAAAACCTTGTATAACAGGGGAAGGTAAAAAGCCTAAAAACAGGAGCATGTTAGAGAAACACACACACACACACACACTGAGAAATTGCTACAAGTAAGATACTGGCTCTGGTGGGCCTGTCTTCAGTGCATCAAATTAAATGCTTCCCCTGCCCCAACTGCTAGTGATTCAATCGGCCAACTGGCAGCCATAACAACCCATTAACCTTTTTGCCAAATCAATTCCACCAAGTCCCCTTCCAGCACTAAGAGGAATTAAATGACGCCCCCTCGCCCTTGCGGAGATGCACCTTCTCAGTTACCGCACACTGGAATCCCCCTCTACACCTGAACTCTGAGTCCCTACTCCTCAGCTCTGCAACAGCGGCCTCTGATCATCAGAGAGCACAGGAACCCGGTTTCCTAAAGCTGTTTGCCCTCAGCTGTGCAGCCGCTGGGTACAGAGGTCCGAGCAGAAGGAGACTGCCAGCCACTGTTAGCAGTGCTATCTGCACAAATCATATCGCATTTGCTCTGAGCCAGATGGAGTTAACTTCCCAGAGCACCCTGGATGGGCAATTTCATGCAGAAATGTGTAGGCATAGCAAACTATGTCACATCAACATTGTAAACACTCCAAGGACCCTAGCTCTTACAGAGTTCTTAAGTACTTGGATCTGTGGCATTGATGCATCTTTCAGAGAACTCAGAAGACGAAATGCTTCTCTAACTCAGTGGCTCTTTGTGGCATTGGGGCTGATGCAGGGGGCGGCTGTGCTTGGGATCAGTGAGACACAGCAGGTGGCAGAGGGAACCCGGTGGTCAATGAGGTGGTGGAAGATAGTGACAGGGGAGGCACAACTCAGTGCTCAGCTCTGAAAGCAGTGTCTCCTTTGGGGGTACAATTTGTAGAATCTCAATTTACTGAGTTGTGTGTACAACAGGAAATGCACAATGTTTCTGTTCTGACCCCAATTGTTTAAAAATACATTCCCTGTATCTTTTTTCCATTGTGAGGGGTCTCTCCATAGCCAGCCCAGCCCAGTCCTCAACTCACCACGCCTACTGTCACCCAACTCACTACTAGGGAACTTTCCCAGATACTAGAACTTATGAGGGTGGGTAGTTTGCTTTCTCAAAGTACACGGCACACAGTAGGCTCCTCGGTGTTTGTTTCCTAATATGGCCTTGATCCTCTGCACAGTAAGTGTGGAGGAGACTGTCTGGGTACCAGCATCAGTCTTTTTGTTGTTGTTGTTACTTCTCACCTGATGATATTTTTCCATTGATTTTTAGAGAATGTGGAAGGAAGGGGAAGAGACAGAGAGAAAAACATTGATATGAGAGAGGCACATCGACTGGTTTCCTCCCACACAAGCCCAACCAGGGCCGGGGACCAAGCCTGCAACCAAGGCCTGTGCCCCTGACGGGAGTTGAACCTGGGACCCTTTGGTCCAGGGGCTGACACTCTGTCCACTGAGCCAAACCGGCCAGGCCCCAACATTAGTCTTACCAGCTTGCTCTGACCAAGCTAAACAAACATCCTTCGTTGAGCCACCACAAAGAATGGTCTTTGGGATCACACATTTATTCCACAAACACCTTTGGAGCCAAATACTTAAGTATTCAGAAGAAAAGTCATAGCCTTGGCTTTGGAGGTCACAGTGAGGCTGGGGAGGTCACAGTGAGGCTGAGGGTCACCAGGGTACAGAGGTGACCGCTGGCCAGCCTCCAGTTGTACAAACTTGCAGAATGCTGACCGCTGTACTCCAACACCAGAAAAAGTGCCCTCACCCAGGAAGCCATGGCTTCTGGTTATTGAATTTGGTCACATCACCCAATGTCTTCCTAGGGCCACAACTAACTGGGCAACACAGGACATGGCATTTAGGGGTTCCCAGCGATGAGGGCAAGGAAAGAGCACAGTCTAATGGGTACAAAGACATTAAAAGTGGGACAACGTTTAGGGAAAAATCCTGTCCACTCCCTGTCTCTTGATCTTTGGGATGAGGGGCGGTGACTACGTGGTTAGGGGCACAGGCTCCAGGGCCAGACAGCCCTGATCTGAGCCCCTGTGGCCGCTGTCTGAGCACCTCAAACAGACAGGTCTCACTTGGCTCACCCATTGCCCAGGCCAGCCAGAGAAGCAAATGAGATCATTACAGCGGGAAAGCTTCAAAAACCATGAAGTAAAATTTTTTAAAAAAATGTGAAGGACTGTGAAAGGACTAGACAAATGAGCAGCT